TTGGTTCTAGGCCAGTGAGTCTCTGGAGGCCACAAGGGTTCAACGGTGCAACAGGGCAAGAGAAGAGGCACAGTTTGATCCCAATTAGCTGGTTACCAGTGGACTTCTCTCAAGCTGCTGTTCAGAACTAGGAACTTCTCTTTGAGGGTGCTGGCAGCAACTCACCAAAGTCTGTGTGTCTATGACCAAGCTTTCATTCTGACCCTTGCAGGGACTTGGGTCCATCTGTGGCTGTTTGGTGTTCCAGAAAGCTGGGCCATGCAGTCTTCGTAAGTGTACACAGTTTATGTTAGTTCTTGTGCTGCCAACCACCTCTGAAACCCCTGGGGGAGGGAGAAGCAAATAGAAAGGCAGAGGGGGAAGGGAGAGGACCTGGACTGTAGGTATAGGGGTGGGGATATTTGACAGATGCAGAAGAGGCACAGGATCAGCAGAGTGGGTCAAGGCCTGGAAGGTCTGAAAGCCAGCTAGCAGTCAAAGACAATCGTCCTGTCAAGATCTGGATTGATTTACAATGGCTCCTATTGAAGATCTTGCTTCATTGGAGGTCTTCAGAGCCTTGATAGCTTTTAAAAGATTGAACTGTCCCAGCTTAGCCTGCCCCTTTCTGGAATAGGCACTTTGGCTACGCTTCCTTTGTGCTTCTCTGTTTTCTTTATGTGAGTCCTGAGATGGAACTCAGAGCCTAGAACACATGTATGGACATGCCCTTTACCACTGAGCCACAACCTCAATCTTCCATTGACTCCACAGATTCTCACTATGTAGACCAGGCTAGGCTAGAACTCACAGAGATCACCCTGCCCTAGTCTCCAGAATACTGAGATTAAAAGTGACTGCTACCATGCCTAGCACTTGTGTTTGTTTTTCTGACAGGGTCTTGTTGTGAAGTCAGCTGGCCCTGAACTCTGGCTCCTCAGGTTTAGCCTCCCTAGTACTTAGATTCCCAGACCCTGCCACTACACAGGTTTTCTATTGAGCTCAAAAAGAAACTGACCTGCCTGGGCCTTTGGGAAGTCCTATTTAAGCCCTGGGTACCCAAATGAAGACTTTGGGGTCTGTGTGTGGAGGTGGGGTAGGGAGTGTGCCACGGGCCCAGGGGCTCATTTTTGTTGAATGATGAAGATTCTGTTTAATCTTTTGGGGGCCTTCAACTGACAAGGATTGAAAACCTCTTTAAATAACATTTGCCACACTTTATCCCATTTCGTATTTACTTTTGATGTTTTCATAACTTCTCTCAGCAGTGAAGCAGCTTAAAGGATTCTGGTTAGTGGTTGTCTTTTGTGCATAGGTCTTGCCTGGTTCTGAGCCTTGGAGCTGACTGACAGCTGGAAAGCTTTCCCTACAGGACCATGGCTAAGGCTTGGAGTGCCCTTCTGTTCCTTGGCCAGTGACTCACATGTTTAGTTGTTCTGGGCAGTCCTTCCATTGTTCCTGCCAAGCCAACAAATACCAGCTGCCATTTGCTACACACTGGAAGCACACCACCTTGTAGTACCTGAGACCAGACTAGGCTGTGCCTCTGGGAAAAGTGATGTGACATGCCAAAGTGAATATTAGCAAATTGATGACAGAGCCCTAAACCACTGATTTTCTTACCCTTCCCTTCTAGCCCTACTTCCTCACTTCGTCTTCCTTTTGCTATTTATGCCTGGCCTTTAGTAGGTATTTAACACAGACACATGGCTTTAAAGTATGAGAGTTTTGTGAAATAGGAACCTACTATTTTGAGTCCATTCTGATTGTCAGGCCTACAAATGCCTGGCAACCATGAGAGGCTTTGGTGCTTTGGTGGAGAGGTCAGATACCATGGAAACACTGTACTCTCTGGTGAATTATGAAGAAATAGATGGGTTGTAGGGAAAGGAGACCTACCTGACTGGGTAGGGAGTATTTAGAATCTGGTTAGAGGTGAGACTCTCTAGCTGGGGGAAAGGTCTGGCAGATCATGAGATCTATAAAAAGTGAGGGCTTGAATTGTGACACTAAGACTTTTCTGTCTCCAACTTTTCAGTAAGTTGTGGTAACCAAGGATGCAAGGGCAAGGGCCTGAAGATATTTTTCAATCCTTTTTAGTGGGGCATTATTGAACCCCCACACACAGAGTACTGAACCTCTGTGCTATACCTATCAGTCTTCTCAAATGGTTTTTAAGCAGGGCTGGTACTTTGTCTGATTCTCTAAGGCCAACCATACCACCAAGCCAGTGCCATTTAGTCTGTCATCCTACGTACTTTTTGGTTCTTTAAGGGATTGTCAGGAAAAGAAAGAAATTATGTCTGCATAAGGCAGTGATGTGTGAGTGTTACTCTGTAACATCCTTGCTCACAAAACTACCTTTTCTCACATTTTTCTGTTCTTGCCGGGCTCTGTTTTCCTCTTTTAGCTATCCCAGCCCACATTTACTCAACTGCAGGTGCTTATACAGAGGCGCTGACAATTACTGGAAAGCGCCGCATTCAATACCATCCACGAAGGAAGTCGGGCTTCTTTCGGGTAGGCTTCCAAAGCTTCTGCCTTCGCCTAGGATGCATTGACTGTTGGAGTTTGGCTGGGGACTC